TTTATACTACCTAATAAATAAAAATAGCTTGTGTCACATGTTATTTTTTTAGAGCATTGGTTCAAAAATTTATCATTTATTCTCATGTGTCAACATGACAACCTTACATATTTTTCTCTATTAATTCGATTTTTAAAATTCAAATAAATCAATATATGTATTAGATTCTAAATTTGAAAGGTTAAATATAAAACTTTTGGTACTTTATCGATTTAGGGGATATTCTATGAAATCATTTCCAATATTTGCATTTAAAACTCCTAATCTTCCAGTATATATGTAAACAATAACCATTATTAAATCTTATTAAAATATGAATATATTTAATCGTTAAATAGCAGTTAAAATTTTTACACATCGACCAAATTAAAAAATGAATATATTTAATCATTAAATACCAGTTAAGAATTTTACACATCGACCATATTTTCTGTTCTCTATTTGTTAATTTGCATTTTTAGTTTTTACCGGCAACCATCATGTTAATTTTCTACATAATAGATCAATTGTTAATTTATGGGGTTGTGAAAAGTTAAACCGTCTATGATATTTTCACGAATAAATGTTTAACCCCCCATTAAAAAGATCAACGATTCGATGTTGAAATTATAACGATGGAATTTTAAATATTGAAATTTCCGCTACAGTCTTCAAATTGACGACCCTGAAATTTCGGTTAACAAATTATACAAAATTTTCCTAAAAATGATGCATTATAAGATATTTCTATATGACATAATAAATCAAATTCATTTTGCCACGTGTCTTTTTCTCTTTCATTTTGCTACATGACTTTTTTCTATTTTTTTTTCTTATTTTTTACTTGTCATTTTTCGGGGTTTTTCATTTTCTTCTTACATTAAATTTCTAGAATTTAGGGTTATATATGGATGTTTTTCATTCTATTCATCAAGGTTGTAAAAATCGGTCTAGGCGGCCGATTAATCGGCGTCTAGGCGCTTGGCGGCCTACAACCGCCTACGAATAGGTGTTAGACGGTTAATTAATCGGCATTGGTCAATATCGGTCAAAACCGATCCAAATTGGACTATATCGGACACCAATAGTGATTCCAGCCCACTTTAAAGTCGTCGGCCCAATGGAGCGAACAACCCAAAGCACATCTTTTTTACGTTTCGAAGGGGATTGTCGCTCCTTTTTATAGAATATCGCTACCTATTATTTCCCCCCACCAGCGATGTGGGATGTGGGACTGTTGGTTGAATATCTCTTCTTCGCTTCTTCTTACTTCACGTAACAGGTGGTTGAAGGTTTGAGCATCGGTTTTCAATGGTGGTTTCGACTGGTGGTTCAACTCCTCAATTGTTGCTAGGGTTCCTTTCGATTTTGCCATTCCACCACATTCAGTCTAACTCCGGCTCCTCCAACGAGGACGACTCTGACTCCTCCCCTGCTCGCCGCCGTAGCCATCGTCTCCGACCTCTGCCATCGTCTCTGCTGCTCAGTCCTCTGCCATCATCTTCTGCCACGAAGATGTTTCCAGGAACTGTACTCGAAGCGTTGGGAGTCTTCTCTTAAAGTAATTCGTTACCGAGTTCTCAAAGCGTTAGCTATCGTCTCCGACTTCACACCTATTTCGAAGTTTGTGTAATTGAATCTGTTTCTCAGGTTCATTGTAAAGGTTGAGTTTACACCTAGTTCACAACTATTTCACACCTTTTATGAGATTACCGTTTCTCAGGTTCATTGTAATTGAATGTCATAGGATGTTTATGCAACTGAATGTCATAGGATGTTTCTACATCAATTGAATCTGACTTCACACCTATTTCGAAGGATTTACGCACACAAGTTGTTTGATGAAAATCCTCACAGAGTTCATTGTTGTTCTTGGCGGAAGCAGACATAAATGTTTATTAAGGAGTTCAATATGATGAATGTTTTTCTTAATTCCTAACTTTGCTCTTGATTAGTATCCAATTCCAGGCCTTCAACATTTGAAACCTCT